CGCCCCCCGCCCGCCCGCAGCACGAGCACGAGAGGTCAGTCAGTAGTGTTTTGGTGGTGTGTTGTGCCGGTTGTTGGTCCGTTGAAGGTGAGTGTCAGGTACATACGCTGTGCTTGTTTTTTTGTGTGACATGAGTCACTTCATTTAATCGCGATTGTCGATTGTCTGTAACTATTACGAAAAGCGGTTTGTAAAGTGTGTGTGGAAGCATGCTTAGGCTCTGCACCATAACCTCTTAAGTCTATGACCATTGTTTTGCTTAACTTTGGTTTGGTTAAAGTTCAAGTTCTTCATTGATGGAGACTTGAGTTGATGTATCCTCGCTGTATTATTCAGTCAATTTTTTTAGGATTCTGTATTTTTTATCTGTTCTTACACACAGTTGCATTTATGTTAATGAAATCGAAGAAACTTTTGCTCTGCCTCGGAATGTAACTCGACATTGCTCGAAACTTTTGTCTTTTCAATGAAGAAGGTTCAAAGAGGTCTCGAAGAGCTGATTCTTCCAGAGATAATCTGATGATGTTGTGTCAAATTTGTTGTCATCCTTGTTTTGCATTTGGTAGCTTGTCCTTCCCTCTAATCATAGTTTAATTTTAGTTTATTAAATTTCAATATTTTTATTCTATTCTTATGACCTTGAAATCAAAGTCATCAAGTTATAAGGTTTTTATTTTATTACCTGTTTTTTTTTTTTTAATCTACTTATTGTAGCATGGCTTCCAATACACAGCCACCTCATACCCCTGTGGTTATACACGTATTTCGATCACCATCTTCAGCATGGTGCACAGAAGCTATCTGGGATGGAATGTCTTTGGAAAGAAAGACTCTGAAGGACCTTGAATCTAAAATAGCCATTGAAGTTGTTAAGAAGAAAGAAACTACATCCTTCAGAGATCCAGGACAGGTAAGCGTAATTTGTTATTTTCAAAACATAGATTTGAATTAATCATGTAAATTAATCAATGAGAAGCGTTGACATCAACATCACTTCAATCATTTTCAGATGGTAGCTGTTCAGTGTCCGGAAGACCCGAGGAAGTGGACAAGGGGAAGGATAAAGGAGAAATTGTCATTGATTAATGGGCCTAAGTACGAGGTATGAATACTCATTACCACATGTACTGCATCATCTATTATCTCTTTTAAGCCTTGTTTTTGTTTTTGGTGGTTTTTCATATTGGCCCTTTTTAGCCCGCCCTTCTGCTTTTGAAAAAGCATTAAAGCGAGCTCATGCATCCGCTCTCGTGTCCGTCTGTCTGTCGTCCGTGTAAGAGGAAGGTGATGAGCTAGAGGTCTGCAAATTTCAGGGTATCTTATGGGTCACTTCTGGACAACGAAACGCCTGGTGCAAATCCTGACAATCATCCCTAAAGGGGTAAAAGGGGGTAACAAAGAAATAAGAGTTGGTCCAAAAAGTAGGAAAATAATTTATTTTTCATGGTCTCCTAATGGGTAACTTGGGAATGCAGAGGGTTTCGGGCGAAAATTTTGTCCGTTTGTCTCTATCTTGCACCGTTTGGGCGCCAGAGTGCTTTTTCGACGAAAATACGGCGAAAATGACCACGTTGCACATAAAGACGTACAAGGAGGCGTCCAATCGTAAAATGTCAGAGGAAGTACCCCCCCAAATAACACATTCTGAATCAGGAACTCCCCTCGGATTTGCCGTATCTTTCACTGTTTCGGCCCTAGAGGTGGATATATTGAAAACAATGGCAAAAAGTCAAGTTTTAGGACTGTTTGACAAACAATATACAATGTAAAAACTGCGCGGGTTCATTTTTTTTGTAATTGTTAAGCAAAGCAGAAGGGTGGGGTGTAGTCACGGTGTTGCCCCGTTACAGTCTCTTGTCATGTCCAAGGAGCAAATTTCTAGGGCCGCAGGCCCCCCGGCGCACGCTTTAGTTTACTCAAATATGCAAAGTGATTTACCGACCGGTCACATTATTTATTTGATTATGCACTTCAGTAAATCGCGAGACTGAAATGGTCGGGCCGAAGGCCGCCGGCAGGCCAAGCAGGCCCGGCCCCTGCCGAACGGAGTTGCCGGCGCAGCGAAGTGGAGCTGGCAACTCCGTTTGGCGGAAGGGCGGGCCTGCTTGTTTTTATTGTTCAAAGCTATTTTGAAAAGTGTTCTATCTTGTTTTTCCAGGTGCACATGATAGACCGTGGACACACGGTGCGCTTTAAAGCAGAGCGCATTTGCAACCTACCGTTCAATTGTGATGAATTGCCTCCTCAGGCAATGAACATTGTTTTGGAGGGTGTTGTTCCTGTTAACTTAGGAATATCTTCTGCTGTTGATGCAATGAACCCGGAGTAAGTATGATTGTTAGACCCTTAAGTTCATTATTAAATGTATTTCGTGTTTTCTTACTGGTGTGAGTTTCAGAATATCTTTGGCTTGGACTACCCGTGCCGAAAATTTTGTGAATGAAATCCTTAAGAGTCAGTCACGTGCATGGTTTGTTGAAAACGCAGACCATCCTGCAATTGACCAAACTCATTTTGGTGATTTATTGATTGAGATTGATAACAAAACTGAGAGTCTGAGTGATCTATTGATCCAAAATGGACATGCACAGAGAAGCAGTAAACACTTTGAGAAACGTAAGTTTGTTTAATCAAACAGGGTGGCCACTCTACGTGAAATTTAAGACATCCTGAATTAAGCTTTTGGTACTTTGTTGGGAAAAGTCTGGAAATATGCCTTACAATGGTCCAATGGCTGGGGAAAAAATCCAGGACATATCAAAAGTTAAAATTTTAGGCCCAAGAAAATCCGGAAATGAGGGCATTTTTTATACCAGGAAATGGCCCCCCTGTTTTATAAATAAAATAAAATTTTTGATTCCATCTGCAATAGTTTAGTTTTGGTTGAACTCTTAAATTTTCTCTCTTATCTGTGTATATTTAGGACTTCAAGACGAACGAAGATCAAATCTAGAAGGGATTAGACACTCTCCCAGAATGGTGCCATGGAATGACTCCTCGTCTTCTAGTTGTGCTCCCTCCCCAGTGACGTCCCTGCCTTCAGATTCAATGAGTCGGAAACAGACCATAGGTGTATGTAATATCTATCTACATGCTAGTATATGCAAGAGAGTGACTTGTTTTCTTAGCATTTTCTGTATAATCTAATTTAATATTGTTTTTGATCAGCATGATTGGTTTGTTGAGAAAAATGTCAACATTTGCCTCATTATGATTGCTTTTATTCCTTTTAACTAATCTTCAATACACTGTGGTTTTTACAATTTTGGATTCTTATTTTCCAGGAGGTTTTGAAACAGCAAAAAATGTTGAAAAAATCAGTGGATTTTAATATATCTGGAGTATCACCTGAGGAATCATCAACTTCTGAAGGACCCAAGGTATTTCTATTGTTATTATTGATTTAACTTTTTGGGCTTAGCAACAGTGATTTACAAAGATGTGTTTGATGTTGTTACCAGGATCACCCAACTGTTTCTCAAAGTGAAAATGATATGAAATCAACCCCCAAACAAACCCGCGCTGCTTTACTGCTATCAAAATTAAAGGGGAAATCTCCAGATCCCTGTAGAGTTGAACAAATGGAAAACACCAATGCAGACCAGAATTCTCTGGATTCTAATGTAGTTGTTCAAAATAAAAATTCAATCCCAGACCAGAATACTCCTGATTTTTTGGGAATTGTTGCAACTAAAGAATCAACTCAAGACCACGGAATTATAGAGATTCCTTTACCTGCAATATCCAGAAAATTGGATGAAAGATTTGTGCCCGCTGGTAGATCAATATCATCAATCAGGAAAACAGATTCCTATCTAACTCACGGGTTAACGAAAGGTTGCGAACCTAAGAAGATGAGTTATGAAGAAAACAATTTCAACAACATGAGAACTGACTGCAGTTCAGATTCCAGCTCTTCCGATTACAAGACTGAAACTTATATGCATACCAAAACTAATGGCCATCTTAATTCAGCCGGAAATTCATGTGATAGTTCCTCTGATGTCAGTATTCAACAACCAAATAGACTCAGTAAGGCAGAAATTATGAATAATTTGAGGAAGAAGAGGAATTCACAATCTGAAGTCAAAGAAGTACAGTTGTCAATCTGTGAAAACAATCAAATCAAACAAATTCAACCCAGTCAATCTTCAGCAAGGGATCGAATTCTAAGGTGAGCATTCGTACAATCTTCTTCCTTGGCTCATGATTTTCTACTTCGCATGCATGCAGGGCTGTGTGTCTGTGGAACGCTGGGTTTGGTCTGTAAAGTAAAGGATGTAGATACCTGTCTGCTGAAGCAAGAACTCCTCACAGTTACCACTGTAGATGGATTACTGAAATCAATGGAGTTTCTTTGGTCTTGGGTTCCTGTGTTTGATGGTATTTGCATTGTTGGAGACTCTCTCCAAAATCCGTTTTAAGTAATCTTCCTCTGAGGCATCCTAAAGTTCAGTTAGGTGGGCTTAATTTTCATCTGGGGGCTTTTGTAAATCATAGGGTGGGCCTTTAATGGTAGGCCTGTGTGGAAATGACTATAATTAACCTGGTCTGCGGGTGTAGGTAGGCCCAAACCAGAGGAAGTGTTAGCATGGGTCATGATGCAAATGTGGGATTTTGGGTATATTTTAGACATTTGAGTACTACAGTTTGAAGAAAGCTTCAAACGCACCCTCAAATCCAGTTCTCAATTGATGAATTAAAGCCACACTTGTTTAGTCATAGTGGGGAAATCGACTTTTTCTTTCTAAATTATTGCCTAGTTATAAAATCGTGTCACTCTGAAATATTGCGTTCATCACATTCCAGCGGAATGGCAAAGCTTCGGCAAGAGCTGTAAGCCTCTTCATCCATCCACTACATGAAGAAGAGTCAGCAGAACTTCCTCTGTTCCCTAATCATGTCTCTAAGTTTTCAGTTTTAAATGATTAAGAATTAATATTATGTTTCCTTGTTAGCAATTTATTTTTTATCTCGTTACAATTGACATGACAGATCTTTGTCAGTAATACAAGTTTATAGTCAGTCAGTAGATGTTAAACTGAAACTGAGAAATATTGTAATATTCTTTAATAATTAAGAATAAAAGTTTTTGACATTATGACTTAATTTGTTCCAAGATCTTAATCACTCAATTAATACAGCCATGATTGAGGAGGCATCCTTCAGAGCTTATAATCTTTTGTTATTAACCAAGGAAAATAAAACTCGATCTTCTTAAACAACATTACACATACGTATTTACAGTGCCACCAAGCTTGACGACAGCACTCAACTGATAGATTACATTGCGAGATCCATTCTTCTACATGGTGGTTTCCCACCTTCTCCCTGGGTGACCTACGAACAACTGAAGTCGAAGTTTTCTACACATGTAGAGCAGGTAATTCACTTCAAACTTCGATTTATTTCATTTTTGTATCTGTTATAATATACAAGCAATTCCTTTGGTATCATCTTTTAGCTGCTCATTGACAGAGGGTGGTGCTATTCTATATTAACTCTTGAAAAATATATGTGGCCTGCAATCCAACAACGGCAAAATGTCATAATGATTTCACCATCAAAAACTGGTAAAACTTTCAGTTTCATCATTCCCTTAATGGACTTCATGATTGATACAGAGGTGAGCATAATTCACTTCTATGCTAAAATTGTTAAAATTGTTGTTGAGTTTGTCACATAAAGAATTAAATACATTTCTTCCCCTTTAACAGATTCCCAAAGGAAACGGGCCTTTGTTGCTAATTCTTTGCTCTGGAAGTAAGGCTGCAGTTGAAGTATATGAATCATGTGTGAAAGTTGTAAATGGAGCAAAGAGAGCACCGCGAGTGCAAATAGCTCATGGCCAATCAATTGGTGCTGACAAAATTGTAAGTACTGGTAACTAACTACCTAGTCTTTCCAAGCTCAACTGCTTAAAATGTAAAAACATCTAATGTAATCTATTTTGGTTTTAGTTCAAGTTAATCAATGGCTGTGAAGTCTTAGTTACAACTCCTCCCTGCCTTCTCAGAATTCTCAAACATGAAGTTTCCCTAAATTTTAAACGTTTGTGTCACTATGTCCTTGATCAAGCAGACATTTTAATGACCAAATTTCTGAATGAGGTAATCACTGGCTTAGTTTATTTTCTGTCACATGAGAAACCTACAGCTTGATATGGTGTGGTTGGGTCTAAAACGTTTAGTTTGTTTCTCTTTAAATCTGGCCAGTACAAATATTAAAAAATTTACAGATGAAAGAGATTCAAGCTTTGGTGGTAGCTGAACAAGAGTCAAGAACAATGAAAAATGCTAAAAATGGAAATGATGAGAGTGATCCTATTCAGATCATTGTATCAAGTGAGAAGTGGGAGCCTCATTTTCCTTCTTATTCTAAGCACTTGCGGGGAAATCCTTTGCTGTGCATTAATGACTGTTTCGAAGCCTGTGTTTATGGAAAACCTGAAGTAGCATTTCATTTAACTCGCTCTAAAATTACAAAACTTTTACGTAAGCATTTTATGTCATTCTGTATTGCATAATATTGTGAAAGTTTTGATTGGTCACGCACGAGTTATTCTTTGCAGAGATTTTGAAGAATGTTGCGGGCTTAAACAAGGTGGTTGTGTTTTGCCAGGAGGATGAAATTGATACTTTGGAGGCCTTCTTGAGAAATGAATGTTTGGATGTTTTAGTATCACGACCAAACCTGTCATTACAGCAGTTAAATGGTATGTGGATAATTGTATCTTGTCTCTTTTGTACTCATTATTTCATTTTTGTGGCTGTATCCATTTAGGCAATGTTCTAGAGGTTTCCAATTAATAATGAATTTCTTTAATGTAGCTATAATGTTACCTTGGAAATCAAGTAAAGAGGGACAACATTATACCCTGTTGTGCACTGATAGTGAGTTTATAGATCTGAAAATACACGATGCAATGTGTGTGGTTAATTTTAGGTAATGTTGTTCACATTTACTGTTACCAGTATTCATTTACTATTACGCTATCCTAATATCTGCCCCCCAAAATTTCAGCTTTCCATCTGAAGATAGATCTCTTTTTGTAAAACGTTTATCCTCAATTCATCTTAATTTACCCAATATTTTTGAGAGAAAGGTATGTTACATCAAAAAGAGGAGTGTATGGTTTTTGATTTTCTCTTCAAAATGAGAGTATTTTACAACTAAGATCAAAAGTAAATTCATCTAATTTCAGCATTCCCTGATGAGGATCTAATATCAAATCCATATTTTCTCTGTTCCAGACTCAAGTACGATCTCCTTCAATACAGTTAATTCTTGATGAGTCAAATGCAGAACAAATGCCAGTAATTGTTCAACTGATGCAAAGAATTTCAGACAATATACCCAAAGATATTATGGAACTTGCTGAGGTGTGTAAAGGTCGCAACGGTTTAGATGATTATTTTGTTGACCTAAGTGTTATGTGCAATTTTGGGAGCTGTTAAGATAATTTTTACATATTTTTTTTAATCTGTTTTTAGAATGTCAGGAAAGAGAGAGAGAAGATGAAGAAAATTAATAAAATATTCTGTTTGAATCTAAAAATGTTTGGAGATTGCACAAAGAGCAATTGCCCAAGTAGGCATGTTTTCATACCAGAATTGGACTCTTCTAATATCCTGCCAGGGTATGTACAAACGTCTTCAAGTTAAATCTAATTTACTTGATCTATCTCCTTCTGTCACTTTTTTTATTCATTTTTTTTTTTTTAGAGATGGTCTTGTTAAAGTGCTAGTGAGTAAAGTGCGCAGTGCTGGTCATTTTTCCGTGCGGTTGGAGGAACTCATTAGGCCTGACAAGAGAACAGAAATCTGGAATTCACAATACACTAAGATTGCTTTTAAGATGTTCAATCATTTTTCAAAACCCGAAAATAGGTTTGTGTTGGGCTGTCATATAATGTATCTTTCTTCAAACTTTCAAACATACTTATTAGTGCTTTCTGAATCAGGAAATTAATTGATAGTGATAAGGTTGCGGTTGGTGATGTGTATGCAATGGAAACTATTGAAAACTTGTTCCACCGCGTTCAAGTTTTAGAAGTGCTGGAAAAGGATAAAAATAACCACCCTTCTGTCGTCCAAGTAAAATTTCTTGATGAAGGGGAGCAAAAGGACATAAAAGTATGCAGAGAAAGAAGCAAGTACTAGTGTTAAGACACAATATGTTTGAGGAGTATAGACATGATTATTTTGCTTCAGGTTTACTGTCTGTATGCCCTCCCTGAGGAACTGAAAGTGCTCCCTGCAGAAATTGTTGATGTGTTTTTGTGTGGTTTACTGCCTGCGGATCGCGACGATGGCTACGACCGCGATGCAACGTCTTTCGTCAAGAAGTGTATCAAGTTTGTTGAGGATTCCCCTGAGGATAGTCCTACATTTGTCCAAGGACAGGTAGGGGCTTTTGACTTAATGTCTCAAAATATAATTATCTTTACTCCTTTCCACCCATGTGGTTGGTACTCTATTCACAGTTCTTATGTTTTAGGTTGTATTAAGCATGACTGGCTCATTGTGGCTTGACCCAGTCGGTGTTTGTGAATGGTTACCCAACACAGGGACCACAGTTGTTCGACAAAACATCAAAAGAAGCCTTTTGGAAAAAGGTCATGCCATTGAAAACTTAAATCATTTACCTAAACTATTTGCCTTATGTGGTAAAGAAATACCTAAACCACTTCTTGTTCAAGGTAAGTATCCAACATATATTGTTGTTGAAATATGTATTTTAAATGCATGCCTTGATTGCTATTAATGTTTGTACACAGATGTGTCAAGAAATGTTTGTAAGCCACATCTGAAACCAAACTGGGCTTTCCTTGAAAGTGAGACATCAGAGGAAGTTGAATTTATTTGTGCTGAGGTTGTTGAGGGCGTCACTCTTTTCTATGTTCAAAGGACCAAATTCAAACCATTGTAGGTCACCCATGATTAAGGATCACTTGCTATGAAGTTACAGAGTTTCAAGTTACTTATTTTTTCAGGTTAACAAATTTAATTGATGAGATTAATAAGGATACCTCTAAAAGAAAAGAGGAAGAGGTTTTGTCTCTGACACCAGGAGATATTTGCCTGGCCAAATACGAGCAGAAGTAGGTTATCCATTGTTGATCCATACTTACTCTACTTACTCATAACTTACCTTATTTAACCCTATTTTTATTAATGTAGATGGCAGAGAGCAAAAATGTTGTCAATAAATGATAACACTGCATCAGTGTTTTATGTTGACTATGGTGATGACAGTACTGTGTCTCTTGAGGAATTAAAGAGTATACCGGAGTGGGCTATTACAAAATTACCATTTCAGGTAGATAATGAAGTACATAATAGAAGACTTTCAATGATTTTATTTCAACTCAACTTTATTGTTACTCATCTATTAACAGGCAATTGAATGCAGTCTGGCTGGTATATCTTCAATCAGCTGCGATTTGCTCTATGATATTACAGATGATGGTGCTAAGGAACTTTTTGCACAGGTACATTGAAGGGATCTCAGTAAGGTAGCAGTAGCCACAGTTAATTCTTGTTGCTTTTCTATTAGTTTTCCTGTTATGTTTTCTGTTATTAGGTGTGTAATCATAAATCAGGAAAAACAACAGGAGGGAAGCACTTTGTAGTCGCTCTTATTGACCCTGTTACTCAGTCAATTCTCAATGAGGATTTATTGAAACTAGAGGGTGTTGAAAAATGTGCTGATGAATTGAAATATCTGAATTTCCAAATAGACCAAAGATTGTTCTCTCAAAGGTACACTCCATGATACTGTCTGTTTTAGCCTAGATCATTTTTTTTTTTCTTACTTTTTTTTTTAATTTTAATCTAATAGGAATGAGTCAGGTTCTGAATTGGCTTTGAATGAAAATGATAAACTGGATGTAAATGACTTGGAATTTCAAGATGAAGATATAAGTCATTTTTATGATGATGATGATGATGAAGATGATGATGATGAAGTGATGAAAGGTTTTGAAGAGTTTGAACTAGAAGGCCTTGAGGTATGCAAGAAATTATGAGTGATTTGATCAAGTATATTTCATCCTCTTATTAACCTGTTTTTCTTCTCTTTCCAGCAATTTTTGGAGAAAAGTGCACCCCTTAGAAAGGCATATGAAGATGCTCAAGGTGCTCTAATTAATAAATCTAATCAAGCTGTTACCAAAAGTCTCAGTCCTGTAAACAATGAAATAAATTATGAATCAATCAATCAAGAAATGAACCAAATGCAAGAAGATGGTAATTTGTCAGATTGGGAAGAGGAAGGGAACTTTGTTGGTCGATGCAAGTTGCCAGTTTTGTGTAATGCTCGGCCCCCGAGAACGAAGTGGCTTGAAGACCTCTACTATGTTTGGATTAAAATTTGCATTACTGGTGTTGAAAAATACTTTTTACACTGGACTTATGACACCATTCAGTTTTGGTAAAATATTCTACCCTAGTCCTGCTCTATAAAACACTATATATTTCTGTTTCTTAATTAACCCTTTCATCATGTAGCACAACAGTAGGAGGTCGCCACTATCTTTTGGACCAAAAATTGCGTGGTACTATTTTACCAAGTAATGTAAAATCCTCTGTTAAAGGATTTACAGTTGAGGTGAAAATGAAAAAGGCACACAGCGGTAACTATCAGTTTGAAAGCTATCCGTTTTAAAAATCTTGAATTATGAAATGATTTTTTTTTCATCATATACACTTTAAGGAATGGATTGGGGAAGGCCTTTTGCCTCTCAACGCCGATTGCCTTGGGTCTCTCGTGACCTCGAGGCAACTGCTGATGCCAGCAGTGATTCTGACTGTGAGGTTTCTCTTGGTACTATCAACAAGGGTAAGTATCTCTCTTCTCTATGTTCGGTTACTCTGCTAGAAATGTATCACGCCTACACATGTTTTTCTCTTAATCGGTTTAGAGATTAGAAAGCTCCCTCTTAAAATGAGAAGAAAGCGTCTGTCCAAACAAATGAAAGGAACTGCGACTAAACCAGACCTTGGTTCAAGTAGTGAAGACAGTAATTATGAGCATGAGCAGGGAGACTCTGATGAGATGTTTTAAGTAATAGACATGAAGAATGATCAGTATAATTCCAAGGCTACTAATGAATTTTTTAAGACATTTTCTTTGTTTTTAGTTATCAACATTTGTATATTTTATTTTCTGAATGCTTCATTTTTAATCACTGAACTAATAAACTTTTCACCAGTAATAACCTTTTGAAACATTGTTCATTGCAATATGTATAGTTGAATGTATGTTGAAAATTAGCTCAGAGTTAATTGGGTGATTTGATTTGGGTGTTAAGGGAAATATTGGGGGTTTAAAAACTAGCTATCTTAACAATGATAATATATTTAACACCACCAAAGCAGTAAAAATATGTGCACTTACACTGTACACAAAATTTGTTATGCAACAGAGCACTCACATATTGCTAATCAAGCGTTACAAATTAAAACAAGTACATTTGAAACAAGAGGAAAAAAAAGTTTGGAGGAATCAAAAAGGTTTCCAACAAACTCCAGTACATTGTTTACACACAGTTGAGATCCATTACTGAGAATACCTTTACACAAGGTGACTAGAATATTCTTCATTCAAGCATGGAGAACATAAGTACCTACTAGGTACAACAGATAAGCACCTGTGAACTCTGGATGAAACCCGACCCGCACAACTCAAAACCACTAAAACATTTGCTTGCATAAGCAGAATGACATAAAAATGATGTCAGGTGCTACAATAGCCCTGGATACTTGGAAGGGTAAAAGAGGGCATAAACCTCCAAGTTCTACAGATTTGCCTGACAATTTGTGCTCTGATAATACATCAATACTCAATTCATTAAATGACTAACATTGAATAATAATAGCCTTACCAAACTTATTGGTAAGGAGTAGTCATGCGCCATTTGGTAAACAGTGCATTTAAAAATAATTGTTATGGACAATGCAAATTGAAAAATGAGATCACATACTAAAATTAACTTAAGGGATCAATAAACTATTTGGTCAACTTTAAGTTTGTCCTTGCCAACATCTTATTTAGCTATACAGAGAGAACATGATCAAAATTAGATGTACATTTATAATTATACATGAGTTCTAGCATCAGTCTCCAGAAACAGAAGTTTGATGTGAGTCCTTATTCTCATTGAGAACAAGAAAAACTCATCTCAAACCTCAGTTGTAAATAATAGTCTATTACTGTAGCATTAAAATTACCAGAAGCAAGTGCTTTTCAAAAACATGCTACGTGCTTCTCACAGTAACTGTGTTAAATGTATAACTGACTAGGAAGAATATACTTATGCGGTATCTCTTGCACTGCTCTACTCAATATAAAATGATTACAAGCACTCTTTTCTTCAGTTTAGAAAAAATGGAGAAGGGTGCATTTTGGATTATCATAATCCAAATTTATATCACAAGTCCAAATAACAAATAGTTAAGTATTTGAATGGGAATGTATTGAAAGAGCATGGGTACTGGAACACTGATGTCTTGCTGAATGCCATGAGGTTGATGTGAATTTATGACAATGTATAAATATATGACTTTAAAATAAAAAACAATGAACAATAAGTGAGGTACTATTTGATAGTGCACCATGGTAAAATGGGTAATATTGACGACTTGAAAATAACTGTTCCACACCCTGCTCTCCGAAATTGGACTAGATTAAAAGAAATACAGACTGAGACTAAAGGACTACATCATAAAGACAAACATGCCTTTTGAAAACTAAAAGCTAATTTGTTTTAGGACCCAATAATTAATCTATTAAAAAGAGGATAATTGGTCATGATTGACCAAACAGTTGAACAAAACTAAAACATTTAAAATGCTGTCAGAAAACAAACAAAGGGTGTTGTTCAGCAATGATAAGAATTTTTTAGAAGGAGGACAATACTATTTGCATTTACTCCTAACCATCCATAGGTGGACCTAGGTAAACCATTGATACTTCTGTATTTCCATAGACAGCCGATACAGCTGGATACAAAGGCTGCTGTACTGGAAGACCTGGAGGAGGTTAAAATAATATTAAAAAGTGTCCACAGGTTAAAGTCACTGTGACCATGATATTGTCAGCATCAGTTACCTCTAAATGCAACTCCTAAAAACTCATAATTTTTTTCAAATGATAGTGTGTTGTCTTCACAATCTAAAATAACTCTTATCCGTTCACCAACCTGCAAAAGGAAATGTAAATTTTAGCTTCTATATTACTCATTCCTTAAAAGTAATCTTAAGAAAATCAGAAAACCCTTGAAATAAAAAAGAAAAGAGACATTAACGCTGGAACTACTATTGACAAGGCAAGAAGCATTAAGTGATGAGCGACGACGATAAAGGACGATCGGTTAAGCGAGGTTATGTTGACAAACACACCTGATATTTAGGAGCATTATTGAGTAGGGGATAATTCCCCTGGGAGTTTCCATTGTGCAGGAGATGGTTGTCGACCAGGTTCCATCCCCAACTTTGATCATCGGAGCCCAGAAGCGCCACGTAACCGTGGCACTGGAGCGGAGCCTCCTTCGTAGCAATTCCAATGACAGCTACAGTGCCAAGAGGTCCTTCCCAGATCACTTCCCATGCATGACGACCATGTCGAAACCCTATTTTGCCTCGGGAAGCGTCCGTGCTCTGGGCGACAGGGTTTCTATGCAACGTAAAGCCATTGGGTTTGATGTAGATGTTTCTTGAGCAGTCGTGGGGATTCCATGCGTGATAAAAACCCCTAAGTTTCGCCTTGTAAGTTGGCACAGACGACAGGAGATCGGATGTCATTGCGTCTTCGGCCAATTTGTTGACACAATGTAACCTCCACACGTCATTGTTTTCGTCATTTAGAATTCTATACCAATTTTTACACACTAGCGAACAGTTTCTTAAATCATGCAGGTCTAAATAGGAAAATATAACTTCAAGAATGTGATCTTTAAGCATTCCAGCTATGCCGTTGTCTTCATCATCCACCATTTTGCCGGTAACTGCTGAAACAAGGAACAAAACAAAACACGAACGAAAATATTTCTCGTTGTGCTTCCGGTCCACCGTTCCTTGTTTACTAACTGAGTTTTGACCACGTGATCGACAGCGACCAATCAGCTGGCAGGCATTGTGCTGCCGCCAAGCTCATCTCAGGTGTTTTGGGGCAGTAGAGACAAGATTTGAGCGACGATTTGTGCGGGAATTTTAATGCTTTTCGCGTGTTTATTTCCTTGCGGCGTTAAAACTGTCGTTCGGATGATACAATTTGATGAAATGTGATAGATACGTAGTGTATTTATTGGAACGCAAGGCTAGAAATGTGCATCTGCCGTGGTCGCCATTTTGATCAGTTGACGAAAAGTGCCCGAATCGAAGGGCCGAAAAGAGTGAAGATTTTCTCTTTGTAGGAATTTTGTAGTTCTGTGTGAAACACGCTGGAATAAGTTCAAGATCATTCAAAATGAGTCAGCCAGGAAATACGGCCAATCTTTATATTCGTGGTAAGTATTCCATGTGATGTCAGAGGGACTAGGTGTAGCTTGCCACGATGAGTTTTCCACAAGGAATATTTTTTACCTTCTCCTAGAGAATACTTTGATGAAGAAGTGAACAGATTTTAGCTTTCAGAGCTTGTTCGTATCGTCTTCTCCACATCGGCGCTATCTGCTCGTTTAAACCCAAACTTAATTCATATCAGACGCTAACCTCTAATCGGCGAATTTCGTGAACCAGAGTCTAAGTCGAAAATTCAAGTAAAAATTTGTATTAGGTTTGGCACTGTCATGTAATCACGTCGAGAGAACGCATTATTTTATTTCGACATCATATCTTCCAGGATTTTTCCTTCTTAGACTTGTCTTTTCCTTAGTTCTCTTACTTCTCTCAAAGGTCCGTACCCTCTGCTGAAGCCGTGTTTCTGATCGCCATCAGCAAGTGTGACCTCAGTACTATCGATAGCTGATATGTTTCTAATCAATACCCCTTCCAAGGTGCGCGGTACATCGGTTATTAAAAAATTGGGTATCTTTGTGGACTTGTCACCATCAATTTGGGATTTAAAAAAATAAAATCTGCTTCTGTGAGGTGACTGAAGTTATTCATTATTCAGTCATTTGATTTGAGTTACTCAGATTTGCACTTCTGCTTCTGCATATCTATTCTGTTTTGATTGTGGGGGAGACAGCTGCAATTTATTCTTGATAGTTTTGTGTTCTAGGAAAATTAAGGAGTCAATTTTGATAGGTTGTTCAAATGATATGTTTTTGAAATAGGGTTATGTTGATCTGGAGTGTTTGTCTCCAATAATTTTTTCCAAACTCTTTTGGTGTTATCTTGGAAGATGAATGTTGAAACCTTGGAGCCATTCATTTGAGCTACTTAGTTAATCTTATATTTTTATTTTGCAGGAGGAGGAGGACAACCTCAAGTAATCAAACTTGCTGCTGGTTCTACTCTCAAAGGGATCAGCAATGTTGTGTCTGCTTCTAATCCTGGTGTGCGAGCTATCTTTAAGACACCATCACAAGATGGCCAGGTAAGTAATCACTCCATTTAGAAATACATTTTAATTTTCAGTGTAGGTTACTTTGGTCATCTAGCTTCTTCATTGGAATAGTTTTCACCCTCCTTACTGAATATGTCGGTCACTGAAATGCTGATGAAACTTTGATCCAACAAAGATTGTTGTGTAAAGTTCATTTGAACTTTTAGACATCGCATTATAACTAGAAGCCCTTGCGTATGTGTGTGTATTCGCTCTCATGCATGTCTTGTGAGTGGAATGGTCTGTTTGCTGCTGCTGTTTCTACTTTGCCATTCATTGTCTGGATTCAATGGTGCCTCCGTTCTCATTTTATTTCCATAGCATTTGCAACTGGGAACGAAGTAAATTTATTGAAACAATAATTGCCCTCCTCACTCTTTGAACAATTTCATTATGGGGTCCCCCCCGTGCCATTCATATTGTGAGAGAATCGAGCCGGCAAGGTCACCGTCGTTTGTGGCGCCGTCATCGGCGTTGGAAGACCCCCATCGGCCCGTCGTCATTGAGTAGCTGCCCCCCCGCGCCCCGCGTGGACTGTGCAAAGCCCACAGCTGTGGTCTTACTCCAATGAATGGGGCCATGCTGCTGTCCTGTGAACGACCTCCGACCCAGGTTGGAGCCGCGCCGCGGGCCCTAGTGGTGGTCGTGGCCCCCGCCCGGCCCGGCCCGGTCCGCCCCTGCCGCGTGCCCGCCCCGCGGCCCCCCGCGGCCCCGCGCCGCCGCCTGTCAAACATCGATACACGGCGGGCCCGCCCCACCCGTGCCCTTCCTCCTCAGAATCGCAACGGATTGCGTCGCGTCGCGCCGCCATGGTCCTCCTGCCACTCCACGCCGTGTGGCCGCGGGACTCTCCTCTTCGGCCGCCGTACGCCCAACCGCTGCCCTGGCTGGTCGCCCCGCGGATGGCGGGAAAACGTCGGCAGCCGCGCCGTGGCGAGCCGCGCCAGCTGCTGCTGTTACGTTCCTCCTTCCTCCTCTGCCCTCTGCCTCTCCCCTCCCCTCCCCCACCCGCGGCGCGCGCTCGACGCCGAGGTGGAGAGAGAGGAGGCTGGCTCCTCCCCCTTCTTCCTTCCCTTTGAATCGTTTTCCCGCCGGTTTTTCTACCCCCCCCCTCCCTCCCTCCCATCCTTCCACCCACCACCCGGCCGGTATCTGCGTGTGTGCATGTGTGTGTTGGTCGCGGTGCGTACGGACGAGCCAGTAGGCCGCAGGCCAGGCGGTGTGGGGGCGGTCCACAAATGTTGTGCCGCTGACGCTGCGGACACCCCCGCGGCCCGGCGCTGTGGGCACGCTATGTGTGCGCAGCGGCGCGAGGCCAGGAGGGGTCAGCTCCAGGGTTCTCGGACTACAAGTCTGGAAAAGCGGTCACAATGTCGGAAAATCCTGAAAATTGGTGAAGAAAATAAGTGAAGCACAAACGTTGCTGAGAAACGATGGGTGGCTCCAGTCCAGTTGAACAAGCGGTCGTAATAACCCTTTTTGAAGTTTGAAGTTGAAGCGAATAGCTTGAACTCGGTCTTATGGGAAAGTCATGGGTATGTAGGGGAATTTGAAACTCCCAATCAATCATGGAACACTAAGCCTATCAGGCCCTCCTCTGCGTCGTCGGGACGCAGGTCTTCCCTCGCCATATGTTCCATCCGGGATGGCACTGATCATGATCAAGAGGTCAACGACATGAACAAGTAATCTTGACGGAGCACGACGACGTGAAAGCACGGCGACGTCGTCGGTCTCCATTGGCTGCTGCGGGTAGCGGGTGCTACCTGTGGCGCTGCTGCTTGCGCCGCTGCTGCTGACACGCACCTCGGGCCCCTCGTCCAGGCCGAGACTGTGCGGCATTATGTATGTCTATTGATCGCGGGCGGCACCGAGAGCCCCGGGGGCGGGCGGGGGCAGCGAGCCCGGCGGAGCCCGGCGCAGCCCCTCTCCCCGTACATTTAGTTTCTTTTTTGTTCTTTCCCGTCAGCGGCCTGCGTGCCCGCCCGCCCGCCCGCCCGTAGTGCCCGTGTATACAGCAGGTGGTTGACCTGTCCGGAAATGAAGTTCTGTACCCCTCGACGGCGGCGCGGGCGAGCTCAGGAGGGAAACAACTTTCGCCTAGTTTGTTTGTCGAAGGCGCGGCGCGCCGCGCTTGACCCCCGCGACCCTGCATTGCGCCAAGCGCGCCCGTGTCCGCCCCGCATTTCATCTGGAGCAGTATCGCCTGCTGACGCCTCCCACCGTACCTTGTTCCACGAAATTGGTGACTTGAACTTTAACGAGGGTCCCTGCACAGACGCACATAGTGAGGGGGGAGAGGTCGCATGAACAACGATGCCGCGATCGACTTTCAGATGCCAACTTGAACACCGGAGCGGATAGCTATATCCCTCTAGTAGCAGTAGCCCGCATGCAGGCGGGCGGGCGGGTTGCCTATCGCCTTCAACAATGGGTTGCCTCACGCCTCACGGCTTCACGGCTCCGAGGAGCGCGGGTGAGCCGCAGGGGCAAAGCTCTTTGCGCAGGGGCCGCAGGCTTCCCGCCTGCGCGCCTGCATGCGGGCTACCCGTTCACCCCGACGTTGCCGACGGCCCACCGTGTTGGTGCAAAACTGTAGATCAGGCGATCTGTCCCTCAGCTGTCTCCATGATGAATAGCAAGAGGTCGGAGATCGACCAGCAAAAAGTACGTCCGTTTTCCGCACATCCATCCGAAGTGACGGGAGCTCGGCGCCTGCGGGACCCGGGGTAGGCCACCCCACAGTACACGCATGCACTGGAGGCATACCTACTAGGCGCCATGGGACCCGGGGTAGGCCACCCGCAGTACACGCATGCACTGGAGGCGTACCCACTAGGCGCCATGGGGGACCCGGGGTAGGCCACCCGCAGTACAC